AATTTTGAAGTGTTTCCGAAGAATTCTCACATGCATGCTCTTATTTTGACATTGTTTAGAGAATTCAACATGTTTTTCTGCTAAATATCTCATTTGATCATGATTTGAAAGATTTGAGTTCGAAAGATTGCATGCATGTTGTATATATACAAGTTTCAAGATTTGTTTTGAATAATTCACTCGCTTTTGGGCCTTGATTTTGTGAAATGGCTTTCAATCCATGATGTTATACCAGTTTAGACATGTTTTCTCAAGTTTTGGGCCCAAATGATGTGTTTTGAAGCTTTGAATTTGAGTTTTGAACTTGGGAAGCAAATTTGGAAATTCCAGAATTTACACTCTTTGCTCGAGCAATGGAATCTACGCTCGAGCAAATAATGCAAGCTCCTAATACTTTTGCAGACATAAGTCTTCGCTCGAGCGACAGAACTTGCACTCGAGTGACCACTCTTATTTTTGAACCTTGGCTAAAGCGACCAGAATTTGCGCTCGAGCGTAAATTGAGACCTCTCAAAAGTTTTGCAGACCAAAGGGTCCGCTCGAGCGACCAAAGTTGCGCTCGAGCGACCTGCCCTATTTTTGAAGATTCGACTAAATGTTTCAACTTATATTTTGGCATCCTCATTGCATCCTAAGCATTCATAAGCCTTAATTAAGACATAATAATAAGGATAAGGATTAGAAACACAATAAGTTAGAAAACAAATGAGTTAAGTATTTTCTGAGCATGTGTTTCAATGTGTATCCGTTATGTGTTTATATAGGTCACGCGCCATAGACTGTCTGATCTATCTGCTCTGTCTGTTCTGCTATTGGAGCTATTTGTGAGTAATAACTCTATAAAGCTATGTTCAACTTTAACTATTTTTTGAATGATACGATATGATCTGTTTTCTGCAACGCTATTCTATGATTAAATGAATGAATGTCCAACTTTCTAAAATCTATTCGTGGTATCCTTAGCATCATGTGATATCTGTTATCTGTTACCTGGTACTAGAGGTTTCCTTATAGAACGGGTTAAGCATAACCATTATCTGCTCTGTATTTGCTCTGTATACGTCCATTTATGTGGGGAGTAACTTAACATGTTTATGTTGAGAGAGAGAAAAAATCCTAATCTAATATTATTGACTTAGTGAATTAAAAGGGATAAAGTTGAATAATGGTTGTGTTTTGTTTAATATGGATTGTGTAAATCTGTTAATAATTAAAAAGGAGAATTAACCATGATACTAGAATTGTTTTGGATTAATCATGTTAAGTCAAGTTGGGTTATGGCTTTGATATCCATGGATTTAGTTTTGTGAAATAAAGAGAATGGATTTTGGACAAAGATTGCAGTATGGTAACTTGGAAAATAAGGGAATTGATTTTTGAAAAGAAAAAGAAATCATAACACTTTGTAAATCACTATGGAACCGGACCTCTTCGCTGTCGCTCAATTCATTACCAGGAATAGGCAAATTCATTTTTTTAGTAAGGGTGGGTTGAAAAGGTGAAGGAGGAAGAATGTATCCAAACGAATGCATCGGTAGATGAAATTACCCCCTTTTTAGAAATCCCCTCGTCACCTACTAGTGAGCCAGAAAGCTTAGGGGCGCCTCTCGTTGGCCTAGGAGAAAAAAAGCCTAAACATAGAAGAAGCGCGCACATTTTATTTACTATTGTTGTTGTTGGACTTAAGGTCTCATGAGAATTACATTATTGTATTACGTGTATTAAGTACATACGTTTATAGGTTTTGTCCTTGGTTATAGTGATCTCGGTTTTTAACCCGTCAATTGTTGTATTTCGGACTTTGGTTTAATGTTTCCATACTGTTGTTTACCTCTTACTTCCCTTGTATCTCTTGAAATTGGCCTTTGGGTTGTTGTGGTTGTGTTTGGAACAGATCAGTTGCTTGTTTTTCCCAAACTTCGTTGCCCAGAATTTTGGTCCTCCGCTCGAGCGAGCCTCTCGAGCGGAAGTTGCAAACTCTCAGTACTTGGCACTTCTACAAAAGTATTGGAGGAGTGTTTTTTACGCTCGAGCGGCTTTTCCTACGCTCGAGCGGGCGGGTTGTCTGTTGTCTGCATAAATGCTAGATGTGCGTATTCTATGCTCGAGCGGGCCAGTTTTGTGCTCGAGTGGAACAAAACTTTGTGTCTTACGCTCGAGCATCAACTTCTCCGCTTGAGCGGACTGTGCGTATATCAGATCGCGAAAATGATGTTTTATATCACTTTTTCGATTCTTTCTCTCTCTAAAACTTTCCAAAAACCTATATTTGGACATTCTCTCTCTAAAATACACTCTCTCTCTACATATTGACCTTAATCCTTTGATCTCTACACCCTTGTACCTTTGAGAAAAAGTTGGAGCATCTCAAGATCTACATTTCTACCCGATTGGATTTGGGTTTCGTCATCTTTGAGGCTTCTCTCTTGCTTAACTCGTCTTTTCTCTTGAGGTAGGGATCTTTCTACACCTTGTTATGATTTTTAACTTAGTCATTTCTGGTTGTGTAACGATGATGGGTTTAGAGGTATTTTGAACACAAACCTAGGGTTTGGGTGAGATGTAAAAGAGGGGTTTTTGATAGAAATGAAATAAATGAATATGGGGTTTGAAAATGAAGTATTGTGGTGTCAAAATAGTTGATTTTGGTATTTGGATGAGATTTGGGAAAAATTGGAGGTTTGTCCTACAATGGGTATTATGTTTATTTTGTACAAATAAATGAAATTGATGTTGTAAATATGGAATTGGACAAATATGGAGATAGATGATGAAATTGAATAGATGATATGTCTCATCCCTTGGAAGTTTTGAATAAATTATCTGTCATAAGATTGCATATCTGTTTAGAAATATCTGTATTGGACTATCGGTGGAGGATAGCTTTGATTATTGTAGAAATTGCATGCGGATTAGGTAAATTAAAACTAATCACTTGATGGTTGTCATTGAACATGTGGATATGTAAATACATTGTATATGTATGTTTATTTGGGAGAAGAAAAAGGATGTACTCCATGTGTGATTATGTGTTTAAATACATTGCATATGTATAATTGTTTAGGAGGAGAAAGGGGATTGACTTCAATATAATTAAGTTGGCCGGAGTGTCTTGGGTGAAAGTCCCAAAACTATACATGGGTGCCGATCTTGCGGACGAAATATGCGTAAAATGGCGAATCGAAAACTATACATGAGTGCCGATCCCGCAAACGAAATATTCGTAAAATGGTAGTAGAAGTGTTTTATGTCATTTGTGAGATTGTAACCAATGAGATGTAATCTCATTAGGGTTAATGAAAAATAGGTAAAATTGGCTCAGGTGTTGAAATAAATGAAAAATAAATAAAATGGGATATGGACTTGGTTCATTTATGATTATATAAGACGTAAATGTTTTACCCTGACATTGTATATGTATGATGCACTCTTAGCTTTATTAAATCTCATATATTGTGATAGGCTGTTTCTATTGGGCTTTGGTTCACCCTACTTGGGAAACCGTTTTCAGGTACTGGTGACATGCCTCGTTCAAGGACGTAGCTTGGGAGGACTGAGGGGCTGAAGACTTTTCTTTTGTGTTTACATGGTTATCTAAGCCAAGGGCTATTAAATGTACAGAGCTTATGACTCCATTTTTGTTGTAACCAAGCAAGTCTTGGAAAGATGTAAGTCCGTAGGGCATTTACCTTATTGTCATTATCTAGTATTACATGCTATAGTTTTGGGATGAACATTTATGAATGTATAGCGCATGTAACACCTTTTGTAATTCAAACTCTAATGAATGAAAATATATTAATTCTATTGTATCTACTTCTCGTGTGAATTAGGTTATTGGTATTATTTTGGGGGCGTTACATTGGTCATCGGTGGAAAATGACACTATTGTGTTGCATAGATTTATGTGAATGTATTACGCTTATGTTATTTGTGCTTTTAACATGTGATGATTGGTAATGTATATTGCGCTGAGAATGAGAGGTATCATTACCTTCCAGCTAGCGCCTAGAGAATTGGTTGCACTTAGAATGAGAGGTACTAGTACCTTCCAGCTAGCTCTTGGAGAACTTGGCATTTCGTTATGGAAAGGTGTATCTTTGGCTTACCGTTCTTAAGGCAAGTTGAAGAGTGTTGTTTATCATTATTGTCATGCATTATGATGGTTATGATTTGAGAAGGCCGAGTTGTGTTATATGTTGAGTAGGTAGTTGTTAGATGTTTATGTGTGCATGTGGGAGTATCAAATTAGTTGTTGAAAGAATCTATTTACCTTTGGGCGTAAGGCCAGGGAATATGATGAACTTGTTGGAGATGGGCATAGGTTATGTATTGAGTTTGTAAATGATGTGAAGAAATTGGATTTTAGTGAACATGTTTTCCAAAAACAAAACGATTGTTATGTGATATTTTTGAAATGGGAAATGAGAAGAAAATGTGAACCGTCTGTATTGTTGAATAAATTGGATAATTTTTGGGAAAAGTACTCTTGCAAGTTTACTTCAGTTATAAACTGTTACATTATTTCTATAATATGATTTAAAGCATTTTTGGGAGACCTACTAGACTTTGTATTCATCCCACATTGCTAATCTTTTTTCAGGTAAATGTTGTGAAGTGGTTCAAGATTGAGGATCTTCTTTATCTGGTGACCATGACGCATTTTATTTGTTGGCAGAACGCCATTGTTGTAAAAGGGTTGAAGCCTTTCTTTTATATGTAATGATGTAAACCTACGGGCAACCTGAAATTGTATTATAATTATCGAATTGGTAATGATATCCATGAAATAAAAAGGTAGGGCGTTATAGAAAGCGATGTGGCAGCCTCTCAGCCTCGTATTTTGTTTGCCCTTCTTTTCCTTTTCTATAGACTTTTTTGCTTTCTTCATTCATTTCTCTTTTACTCTCTTTTTTTGTCTATATATATATATATATATATACATACATCTCTCTCTCTCTCTCTATCTATCTCTCTCTCTCTATCTCTCTCTCTCTTATCAATAAACCACCATATCTCAAGATCTAAGGTAGCTAGACTGAGAGTTGATCTTCAACTCAAGTATTAATGTTGTCTCGATTTTCAATTTGAAGATTTTAGGGATTCAAGACTTCTCTCATCCATTTCTTGAGGTACGGATTTATTTTATCTGAATATAATATGAACCTCTAGTTGGATATGTTGTATTTTCTTAACACTCCCATGAGAAATTTGTAGAGATTTTGAAAGCATATGTATTGTAGAGACTTAGAGTTTGAGTGATATTGGTTGTTTCTCTATATTTTTCTCTAAAAACGTATTTCTAAATATCTTATAACATAAAGGATGCTTTAATTTGCCAAAGTTCCAATTTTTGTAAAACTTTAATTTGAGAAATTACATTGTTTTTGTTGATATTGTCTCTATACTTGGAATTGGACAATTTTGGCTGTTTGAATATTCTAGAGATTTTGAATTGTTGGCAATTGGTGGAGAATTACATTATTGTAGAAATCACCAACCTAGGGTGATTTACTCAATTTGATAAATTGATTGTTGGCTAATTGAATTTGGAAAGCCCGTTGTTGAATGGTGGTGTGTTGAAAATGTGTTGATGATTAAGAATACATTAGTTGCATTTGGTTTATAAAAAATTCAAATGATTTGAATTGAATAATAATGATGACTCTAGGTCATATACAGAAATGAGATTAAGTTGATGAGAGTGTCCATAGTGAAAGTCCAGAAATCAATGTGGATAAAGCATCAATTTCTTTCCGGCTAGCAACTAATAAATTGGGGGTGTTTAGGTGATTCTTTGAGAGACCGTTGGAAAATACATTGATTTAGGGATTCACCTCAAACTAAAGTGGGCAAATTGTTGATTTTAAACATTTATCAGACTTTATATTAAGTTATCCGATTTTGAAATATTGATAATTGTGAACAAACGATGAATTTGAATGAATATAAGCTTATTATATAGCACCATGATCATATACATTTGTAACGATATATTATTGGAAATAAATATTTTTCTACTAAACTATATATTTATTCCTCATTGTTGAATCTTTCCAGGTAATGCTATTGAGCCACAACCTTGAGTTGGCGTGGGAACTTAGATGTGAGCTAGAAGAGCTCTATTGATTGTGGCCTAGGGCTTTTATTTTGTTGGTCGAGTGCCATTTCTTTTGTAAGAGATAATTTCCTTTTTACTTTGTTGTAAGCCCAACGTAAATCTCTTTTGTAATGAATGTTGATCCATTTAACTTTACATACTATATATTCATGCCACGTAAATGATGAATATAAGATATATAATAATAAAACCTCATATATTGAATGATGATATATATATATACATATATGGAAGGTGAATTTTCGGTTATTATTGTATATTCTTGCCTTCTATTACAAATTCTAATAATATTTCCTAAATTTCAGATATTGTAAAATTTGGGGCATGACAAACCGGATGCACTGGATGGGCTTTAGCCAAGCCAAACGCCTTAACCTACCTTTCTAAGGCCAATTTCGGCCTCTATGGACCCCAGGATTCAATTCCTTTCAAACCCAAATTCCCTCCCCTTTTGGTCCCGATGAAGGGTCTCTCTTCCATGCGACATTATGTGAAAAGCGTTGAGTTTTCAAACTTTGTCAATTTAAGTTCATATAATTTTCAAAGAATTTTTTAACGATATAAAAGTTTCTTGAATCTGATTAAAAATGAAGATTTGATAGTCATTTTAAGATAATTCGTCGATTTTCGACAAGTGATGGCAAAATAATCTTTTTTTTCAAAATTTACTAGTAAAGGACTCTCATTAACTTCTATCTGTACAACTATTCATTGTAGAAGAAAAATAGTAGTAAAATTTGTCTATTTGTTGCATAAGAAACTCTTACAAAGAGTTGTGAAGAAGTTGAGGTAATGGGTGGGCAGTGGGAATCAGCTTCAACACAACATTCATCAGGTGGAAGGAAGGAATTGGCAAAAAGAGCAAAAGTAATAAATCGAGATGGAAGCTGCAAAAATAACATTGTGGATTTTATAACAAAGCTTGTATGCGGCAGCTCAATTTAGATAAATAATTTGCTTAAAAATATATTTTAGCCAAAAATAATAATTAGATAAATAAAGACAAAAGTCATTGTCTCAAAAAAGAAAAAGAAAAAAAAAGCAAAAAAAAAAAAGATCAACAATGTTCATTCTCATGTTTAGGTTACTAAGATTGTATTTGGTGGGAAGATATGATGAGAGAAATAACAAGGTAAAAAGAAATGCAATCTTACTTTTTATTTTATTATAATAGAAAACACATGAAAAAAGAAAGTGAGAGAAATGCAAACCCAATTTTTTTTCTTTCCGAAATCACTCTTTTCTTCTTTCATTTTTCAACTCAACCAAACATAACTTGAAATTCAAATCCTATCAATTCTTTTTCCTTTTTTTTTTTTTTTTTGAATTTCCCTTTCTCTTACTATTTCTCTCATCAAATCCTCCAATCAAACATAGCCTAAAAAAATACATCGCAAATAACATCAATAACCATTGTAAGAGCATCTACATCAAACTCTTCAAAATCACTTTTTAGCTAAACTTTTTAAAAAATCAACTCCATCAAACTCGCTTATAGCTCATCAAAATTTACGATCGCTACAGTAACTCGTTACAACAAGCGAGGCACTGTTCATCGCTATTTGTGTGTTACCGAATGTTCGCCCGGAAGTCTGACAGGACGGTCAACCAATCAACGGCAATTTTATTTATTTATTTATTTTTAAAAAAAATTATTTGACTGATAACTTATCAATTTAATAAATAAATAAATTTAAAAAAAAAAAAAAAAACTAACAAACACAACAAGAAAATAATATTTAATAAGAATAGGTTAGAATAAAGAGTTTAATGTAATAGGTGTTAAAAGGTGAGTAGCTAAAATAATGAAATAGGTTTAATTTGACTAAAAATTTGAAGAGATTGGTGTGGATGCTCTAAGAAAGCTAAGAAATAATTATTTCATTCGAGTGCACTTTTATTTCATTAAACCAAATACTATCTAAAGCTAACACAAGAAGTTTAGAAGTGATATACGGCTAGCTAGAACAGATAAAAGATGGACACTCATTCCATAAAGTCACATAACAATTTATCAATTTTAAGACCACTAAAACTCTTCCTCTATTGATCTCTCAACCCTATTGCATAAAACTCATGCCCCAAAAAACAGAGCAGCAGAGCTATGAAACCAGAAACCAGTAAAATGTCCAAGTTATTCACAGATATCAAGTATTCGAATATCAGCCTTCTAGTTTCTCCTTAATGTTAGTTGTTTGGGATACACTACTTTAGCACACATTTTTATCTTATTTGGATCACATCACAATGCACATCTTTTCGTAAAAAATCATAAAATATACTTATTTAAATCACTCCAAAAAGATATTATGATGTTAACTACCAAAATGCAACGTTTTAATTTCAAAAACAAAAACAAAAACAAAAAAAAGCCTGCTGTATGAACTTTGAACTACTTCGGCATAATTAAAGGAACAACACACATTCTCACCCATCTAGGTATAATCAACATTGGACAATCATGTGTATCATGCCAAGTATAAAGCATATAACCAAGAAGACAACTACGTACCTTAGTGTATGTAAGGTCTTTGTCCGTCTAACAAAACAACTTTTATAGCATTAGCAAAGACATCCTTGTGATTAGACAGCTGAACTATAAACATTTCTTCTGTATATCACTTGAAAAGATCACCTGGGTAACAATTGCCAACGCCTACAAAATATTGACAGCTGTAACAAGAAGCAGACAGATTGCCTCCCGATCCATTCTAAAAAATCCAGACAGCATAAATGACACTGTTCGCTTCACCCAGAACTCCCTACAAAAATGTGCTATCAAGCTATCAAATGAAAGGAAAATCTAGAGTGTTACTATCCTCTATTTCCCCCCAGCTTCACCTTCACCTTCACCTTCACCTTCACCTTCGCCGGCATCTTCTGCTCGACTGCCCAATTTCACAATGTCTTCAACAAGAATCTTCCCATCTGCAGCAATAAAGTTCACTCAAATCATGATCATAGAAAATAAAAGATAAATATTTCAACAACTTATATTTTGTTTGCAGAACAATGCAGGCTTTGGTACAAGATACAAAAAATTGGAAAAAAATTCCGAAGGAGAGGAAGTTGCCTTCGCCCCACATTTTGTTTAACAAGGAAAGGAGGGAAAGAAGTAACCACTTCACGGCATTATCTATGTCTTAGCACAAAAGTAGTATTTGAAGGCAAAAACATATGTTAGAGGGAGAGAGAGGTTCCATTTGTTGAACCTGATTCGAACAGAGTGGCCTACCCCTTCCCTTCCCACCAAACAATGGGAACTCTATCAGGCCCAGTAATGGTTTTGGGTGCTAACAGGGCGATGAACACATATTCCTCAAAGCTTTCTAACAGCCAAATATTTTGGTTCCTGTTGGCCTTCAAGAGAAGGCATTTCAATAGTTGAACAAGAAGTACTACTAAATAAATAAATAAAACTTCTATGCAAATTGAATTCCAATACATTTTATAAATCACTAAAAAGATGAAGATGCACATGAGAATAATGGATCATGAAAACATCTTTGAATCACCAACCTCTATCTTTGGAAAGGTTGCTTATGAGTTCTTGGACCCCCTCCTTGCCTAAAGTATCCTTCAAATACATAGCTGCAGATGCCACCTCCTCAGGAGTTACTTTCCCATCATAATCTCTGCATGCATACAAAATTTTTTATATATCTGTGTACACAACATGAATGTCAAACATTTTCTAAATATTGAGGATGGTCTCCAAAGCCAACAAACCTATATGGCAACTGCTGAAAATGAAATGTCAAGTGGCAGAAAAACAGGATGGTATATCAGGATTAGTTCAGCCTGATTGAAAGATATCATATCCAGGTTTGCAGACCCATATGGGTATATATATATATAACTTTGAACATCCCAAAGAAAGTAAGAATTCAGTAACTGACTTGATATCCATAGGTCCTCCCACAAAAATAGAAAAGAACAATAAAATATGAAGCATAATGCATAAACAATCACACCTGTCAAGTAGCCGCCAACGATCACCAATTTTAGCATCCACATCATCAATTTCCTTTTCAAGGTTTTGAAGCATAGCATCAACCTGATTGATTATGGCAAATGACAAAACAGAAAGTTGTCAAATGCTGAAGGTGTGAGGAAGAAAAAGGAAAACAAAAATCTGGAAAGAAAATGGAGACTTACCCTACCTATGAGTGCTGATGAAATTTCATTATGTACGGCCATGTCCGAAGCCTGGTCGCTTTCCTCGTGTGCAGCTCTATACGCCTTCATGGCATCTTCTTCACCATCTGTACCCTCCTTCTCTACCATGCTATTGTAGAGTTCTATCTGAAAATATCAGAGCTATCTAACATGAGTAGATTATCAGAAGGATGCCATATGAGTTGCAACAAAAAAAGTAATAATAATACTGATAATAGAACAAAGCATCATTTGACATTTGCTATGTAGAATGTCCACAGTGACCCTATTAATAGCATACAAGTATCGTGCACACACACGTGCACAAAAAAAAAAATGAAAAACAAATATTTTAAAATGACAACCGTTCAGAAAGTCAAAATAACCCAAACTCAACAAAAGGCTGTCCCATTTATTAGGTTAGGTTACATTGATCAATTTCCTCCATATGGTTTTATTTGCAGTCTCAGTTAAGTAACCTAAGTTTAAGATAGTCATTTCCTTCCCATAACCTCTATTTCTTTTATCACTCTCCACATGGATCAAATCACTCCTTACATGTGCGTTAATTGGTCTATGATGCACATGGTCATACCATCTCAAGCAGTTTACCTTTATCTTGTCATCAATTATTGCCACTTCTCACCATTTTAATGGATTCGTTTATTCATGTAATTTTAGTAACAGTAACAATGTAAACAGAGGAGAAGTGAAAATTGAGAACCAATAACTACTTAAGACTGAACATTTTCGTTAGGATCGATTATCGCAACGGCTAGGGAAATTGAAGCAGATGTGGTCTATAAACTTAAAGCGGGATGGCTTAAGCGGAGGAGTGCATCTGAGATACTATGCAATAAACGAATACCCACCAGACTAAAAGAAAAGTTTTATAGAACTGCTATTAGACCAACGATGTTGTATGGGACGGAATATTGGATAACTAAAAAACATGTAGATAAGATGAGTATTACTGAGATGATGATGCTAAGATGAATGTGAAAAAAGATTAGAAAAGACAGTTAGAAATGAGTCTATTCGTGAATGGGTAGCAGTAGCAATGATAGAAGATAAGCTGAGAGAGAACAGATTGAAATGGTTCGGCTATATACAACGGAGACCAACAGATCCAGTAATGAAGAGATGCAATACAGTGACAATACATGGAAGTGTTGAGGGAAGGGGCAGACCTAAATTGGTGTGGACTAGTATAGTAAATAGAGATATGAATCTCCTTAATTTAACTAACTAAATGGTCTTTGATAAAGTTGAGTGGAGAATAAAGATTCATGTAACTGATCCCATTTGACGGGACTTAAGTCTTGGTTCGGTTTGGTTTGGTTATGTAACACCACAGATTCATCACAACATTCTCATTTCAGTAATACTCATTTTTTGAACATGTTTTTTCTTAAGGAAATCCAGGCAACCAGAATGAGTAGTCCAAACATCCCTTACTCTCATAACAAAGTCCGAACACACCTTCTAAAAGGCCATAATTGTAAAGCAGCATTGCAATAAAAGTGAAGTCTGGTTAGACACAGTGCAAACAATAACTAGTCAATGCCATTAGCAAGTCTGAACTACACAAGAAACCACATGTGAGATACGAAAGCATCAATTGACAGAAGATAAGGATGTTCTGTTCTCCATATGTACAAGAAAAACATTAACCAAGAATTCTGCACATATTAAGAAAAATAAAATAAAATTTGTACCGATACATTACATGTTATATCATGCATGCCATTTTTGTTTTCTTTTTCCTCTTTTTATTTTTTATTTTTTTATTTTCTGTGGTGAGACAGGAGGGTTGATATCATAGAGAATCTGTCCGCGAAAGGCATGCAAGTATCAAGCCAATATATGGCAAAGATACTGATAAAAAATAAACTCTGTAAAGGAGTAATTAATTATGTCCATGATTCAGATGTACCTCCTTATTTACTAGCCTCAGGAACTCTTCCCGCTCTCTACTGACAGACTGCATGGTTAGCAGCACAAGGAAATCAATAATAGCGCAGACAAAGAAAATTTAAAATATATATATTCTCAGCTCAACAATGTAATAAATTAAACATTTAGTGCTTACAGAAGCAGAAGCTAGAACAGCCAAAGCACAACTGAGTTCACAAAGCTGCTCTTGTTTTTCCAGAGTTCTTGCTCTAGCTTGTTCTTGTGCTTCTCTGACCGTTGGAATAGTCATCTCTTTCAAAGCAACATCCTCTTGATCCACAACAGATTCCTTAATCTTGGCTTGCTCCTCTTCCTCTTTCTCTTCCTCCTCCTGCAATCAGTTAAGTTAGAACCATTGAAGTAAATGAAGTGACGTACTCAATGTGAAGCTCAAAACTGCATTGAGGAGGACAAGATATCCCATGAGGCTTCAGATCAAGCCTTCTGAGTGAAGACATGCACCTTGAGCTCAACGCATTAACCTCTTTTCCTACCAAATCCACAGTCTATCCAAGGTATTGAATGTATTGAACATTTTCTTTATCATTTTCTGTTTTAGGGTTCAAGGTCCCATGACAAGAACCAAATTAAACACATCAAGACTAGCTCACACAATACTAGAATTGTCATTTCATATTGCTCTTAAAAAGTGTGATTAGTTGAAAGTCAAAGAGCCATTAATTTGGCAATAATATAAACCATGAGATTATTGACCTTGATGAGTTCTTCCTGCATTTCAAGGAACTCCAATTTCCTCCTCCTCTCCGAAACAGAATCTTCAGATGGCAAGGCTGTGACACCAACAGTATCCACAACCTCATCTGGGAGTGAAGACAATGTATCTCGAACAGCTTCCTCTGGCCTCAACTTTCCAGAAACAGTGAATGCTCTGTGTGTAGTATTAAACCAAATAACAAGTCAGTTGTAATCCAAAACAAAGATTAACACAAAATGTTGAGGCTTCCAATTTCGAATTTTAGAAACAGTGAAGAAAAATAATTGAGCCTTTAAAATACCTGGAGAGGATCAGAAGTGAAGATGGTACAGAGTGATTGAGAGATAAATCCAACCAATCACGGAGCTACAGAAAGAAGCATACATTTACATTAAACTTCTGTACCATATATGCCAAGTTATCAAAAGCTGTAAATGAGGCTGAACAGCAAAATGAAAAATGCGGCGTGAGCATGGTGGGGGGTGGGGGGTGGAAGGTGTGAGACATTCATGTTGCTGATCTCTAGTAACTGTGGTCTACTTATCAACAACAAAAAACAGTGGTAAAAGCTATCTTGAGTTATTCTTTCTATCTAAATGTTGGCTTGAGTTGATTTTCCAGTAAGAAACGATAAATTCTATTACACCAGTGCCTCGGCCCTCCGGGGAGCAGGACCAATTTATACCAGATGTATATAGAATTTACCGCCTATATTATTTTCCCCTCCATGTATCCAACTAAATAACAAACCTAACAATTTGTTCTTTGCACAAAACCATCAAAAAATACCCAATTTTACTCCATGTATCTAAGAAGTACAATTACTTCTATAGAGAAGCTGTCTAACCATGTTGAACACTGGCACCTTTTGGACGCACCTACAAATCTGTTAAACATTTCTGGAATGTGTCCACAATCTGAGAGCAGATTTCATAGTTTGGACAGTTAGCTGACACTTCCCACATGCCCCCAACACTTACCACATGTAGCATGCAGCCATTGGAAATTGGGTGATTACACTGCCCAAAGTGCCCAACTCAGGTTTCCTTGTTACAGTCATACAAATCACTGCTATAATAAAGCATCTGGCCAGTACACATAATCTAACAATGTAAATGACATTTGTTCAGATTCATTTTCCAAACATTATAGATTCGTTAGATGAGACTTTAAAAATGAATCGTGGTTCTATTTTTGGCTTATAAATGTGTCAGTCTGCCTGTGTTTGTATGTTCAATTGTTCTATTAGTTGCCTCTGTGTAAATGAAGAGATATATACTATAACAAGAATCTATCGGTTATTATGATTTTTATTTATTTATTCCATGGGTTGAAGAAAACACTTTTCTGTTTCGTATGGAGTCCTGAAAGGTGCAACCCACATGGCATTGGAACAACTTGACCGGTCAGTTAATAATGTTTCAAGGGGAACCCTCTGTGCTGTGGCTGATGCCTCCTCACCTAAACAAAGCAACCGTGAAGCGACTTTCACTCTCCAAATCCCTTTCCAAGGAAACAAGATCTGATGCATAATCGGTGCCCTATGACAGGTTTGACCTTCTCAAGCCTCCTGGTTCTGGAAACAGGCCATCTAAACTCATCCTCCCCTCCTCTAGACCTATTAAAACCTATGCAAGTCTTTTCTTTTAAAGGATGACTCTTTCACTTTTCTTGAAGTAAAAATGTGATTCTTGTTACTATCTACGTTACGTGAACTCTTCCAATGACAACTAGGGGCTATAGAAATTTCATGAATGTGATTTTTTGTTAAAATGTGATTTTTTTGTATGAATAGAATTTTCCAATTATAAATGAATATATTCGTGAAATGGTTATCATAGTACTAATTGAAAGTAAGTTGAGAGAACAAGTCAAGATAGTTTAGTCATATATAACAAAGAAAAGAAGACGTAACAGTAAGGAAGATTTATATGATCCATAAATGGAAATGTTAAGGGAAGGAAAAGACCTAAGGCCTTGTTCAATGGCGGGAGATAAATGGTAGGATTGGAGATATTATCTTGTGGCCCCATTTATCACTTGTTTGCAAATTTTTTTAAACCAGATATGATATACAAATGGATATACAATACTACAACCTCTCCCAGTTATATAATCTCAAATGAGATGGTATAGAATAGAAAAGACATATCATATACCCCTTCCTCTATTATATATATCAGAGCAAACCAACAAATCCTATCTGCCATTTGAGATGAAATATCATCCAGAGAGAGTGAAGAACAAAGGTAATGCAATAGTCCAGATCTACGACTATCTAGTTCCCGATTTTTGTCACCGACAACAAAAAAACACGTTCCGATGATTCTTTATTTTTTTATTTTAGAGTTTTCCATGTATGTTCTTGATCTGGAGCATCCTTCCACTGATTTTCTTGTAGCTAAACTGATTAACCCTTTTGTGTTCAGAGTTGTTTTTTTTTTTTTTTAGGTCTTTGTTGTTTTGTATATTCTTTATTTGAAATAGATGGAAAACAATCAGATTTTCTAAAACAAATAAAAATAATATTTTTGTAAAATCAAATTTTACGTTTATATTGAAGGTTATGTTAAAATAAAAAAATCTGGAAAACAAAAATCTGATTTTAGTTTATGTTCAAGGTCATAAAAAATAAAAAATAAAATTTAAAAAAAAGAAAAAGAAAACAATTAGATTTCTGTTAAAACAAAAATTATTTTATTTTCTATTTTTACATAAACAATGACAATAAAATACTTACTTAAAATGATTTTGTGTGGTGGTTAATTTTTTTTTGTTTTTAAACAAGTTGGAATTAATGTATATATATTGCAAAGGATTAGATGTAATTTGCATAATTGGTTGTCCATTATCTCCACATGATTTGTAACAACTCTATTTCAAGAGTTGCAGACCATTGATGAGGCAAAGGGGTAAGATGGGCATTAATGTATGCTATAAGGGAAAATCGAAAAATTACTTGTATATATCCTACAATCTCTTTTGTAAAGCAAACATGGATTCATATCCTGAATCAAAAAACATGAATGGTGGGATATCTTATGTCATTACATATGCTACTGTAAACTCCAAGTAATATTAGATCTCCCATTTTATCTCTAGACAATCAAACATGGCCTAAATTGACATAGGATGCGATAGTAAAAAAATATGAATTTATTTACTTTAACCAAGCATATTTACAGAGTGAAATAGCGAGAAAAGATTTATATAGATGACCCCACTTGATTGGGATTCAAAGTTTAGTTTAGTTTGGTTTCCTTTATGGGAATTGGTACAATGTGCACTGATCGGAGCCTAAATGTTACACATTTGGCCCACTAAATACATTTTATTAGTCCATTAATTTGTATTATTTTATAATTTTGTGTGATTTTGTGTGTTTGTACATATTTTAATTGTTTGTACATAAATTAGTGTAAATAATACATTTTAGATATTTTATATATTAATATAGGAATCATGAATCATTGTAATATATAGAACATTATATCAATCAATAATACATAATTCATTCTCTCTATTTCTCTATACATCAAATTTTACAATATATTATATTATATTATTATATTATTTATATTACTATATTTGTTTTCTTCTCCAGATATTTCTTCTATAAAAGAAGAAGAAGAGGAAGGAAGAGGCAAGCGAGGAGAGGCCAGCGAGGGGGCTTCAGCCAAGGCTCTAAAGGGTGAAGGAGAAAAGAAAGAAAAACAGAAAGAAAGGGAAAGTTGGAGAGTTTAGTTTGTACATATTAGAGTGTGGTAGTTATGTGGGTATGAGGAACTAACTTCCTTATCTTAGGGTTAAGATGAAACACTGACCAAGTAATTGGGGTTTTATTGTATTTAGTATTTTTAGTTCTGATTTGATTTGGATAAATTGTATAACTTTCAGATCTTTTTGTGCAATAAATGTTTTATTCAAATCATGTTATACAATTGATTTCATTGCTGTATATTAAAATTGTTAGACGGCGAGTCATACCTAATAAAATGGGTCATGCATTAACAGTAATTTAGTTTAGTGGTGGCGGTTCGTCCTAAGCGAAGATGATTCATATCTTTCTGATTTTAATATACAAATCCTTTTGACGATGTATTTCTGATCAACTTACATCACAATATCCAAATTAATGACTTTCTAAAGACTAGATACAGTAACCCCTGATTATAAGGGTAGTTGTGGATTCAAAATCCTGAGATATTTCTTATTTTATTTTATTTATTTTATGTTTTGTTAATTTCAGTTTTGTTAATTTCAAAATCAAACTCTTTAAATTACTTTAATTATTATTTTTGAATCAACACAACTCGATTAGTCCCTGAGGATCAACACCTAATCTTAACCGCTACACTTCGGAGTAGTAGTTGTAGTTATTACTTGGTTATAAATAGAATACTTTGGTGTGTAAACGACCACATCATGCACCCCTAAAAAGGTGCACATCGTAAGAAAAGTTACAAATTTTTGTAGTGAAAGTTACGAATTATTTTTATGGAAGTTATGATAATTGTGGTGAGAGTAATGAATGGCAAACTTATGGTGAGCACCCCTAAAGTTATGAATGGCAAAGTCATTTTTTTTTGTGGTAAAAGATCATTTTTGTGATGAGCAAAAAATTATACATTTTATAGTAAAAAGTTACAAGGTGCATACCATATGCACCATTTTTGGGGCGCACATGGTAGCATTTCCCTTAGTTTATTAGCATATTTTGGTAACACGAGTTTTGAGTTTTGACCCCACTTAAAACGTCTCAAAATTATTAATAATATCCCATCATGCCCATGAAGTGTCCCCAAGACGGACACATGTATCATAGTGTCTCTAGCTTAAGAAATTAATATAAAAAAATAGACATGAAGACACATGTACGTCCCAATGGGATAGGAGACATGAAACCTTCCTCTAAGAAGTTAGTATTCCATAACTAGATAGGGTGGTACAAATGTACTTCACAAGCTACTTATACAACAATAGGTCACAAACATTAACAAAGCCATTGATACAACTCAATTGAACAAAGCTTTTATCTCAATTACTTGGCCAGTTATACGGAATCATTTCATCCAATTGAATCTATTCAAAGTCATATATTCAGTTAAAGTTTAAATTAACCATGTCATTTCATATCACTTCATTGCATGTTCTCCTTAGTCTTTTCTTATTTCTTTGACCACCTTCCACATGGATCAAACCACACATCCTTAGGTGCATTAACTGGTCGACAATTTCTATGTCTACCATCTCAAACAGCTTCCCTTCATTTTATCTACAAATAAAAAAGGGTAAAAATTTTTTTACCTGTGTATGGCTTGATAACACTCTTAGTTGCACGAAGCGGGAGCGGGAGCGGGAGCGGGGGCGGGAGTGGGAGCAGGGAAGCGTGAGCCGATAGAAGTTTCTTAGGTTGGGAGCGCCTTGGGGAGCGGTAATATATATATATATTTTTTTGAGTTAAATAGTTATTTTTAAATATATTTATTATTTTTATCTTGGTATTATTTTTATTGATAATATTTTTAATTTATTTATATAATTATTTTTATTTTTAATTGATGTATATTATAATTAAAAAATATAACAAATAAAGAATAATAAAATATGTTAAAGTAAATAAAAGTTAAAAATTGAATATTTATTTTATAGATTTGATTTGGTATTTTTTATTATATTTGATTTAATTAGATTTATTCTTATATAACAAATTATATTGTTTATTATATTTATTATATTTATTATCTATACTATTATTGTTATATAAGAATAAATAATATAATTTGTTCGTAAACAGATCGAAGAAGAAGAAGAAGGGCGAAGAAGAAGCAGATCGAAGTACAAGAAGGGCGATGGCGAAGGCAATGTCGAGAAGATCGAAGGCGAGAGCGATCGCGAGCAGATCGCGAGGCGAGAGCAGATCGCGAGGCGAGAGCAGATCGAGGGTCCAAGCGATGTCGAAGGTCGATGTCGAAGGTCCAGGCGATGTCAAAGGTCGACATAGATGTCGAAGGAAAAGGTGACAGCGAGTTCAGGTTTCTCTCTCTCTTTCTCTCCCGCTTACGATCCCATCTTGGATTGGATCGCGTTTCTCTCTTCACAGAAACGCGATTCTTACGCGTTTCTTTCTAGGAAGCGCGGAATCGCGATTCTTACTCGGAATCGCAATTCTTACTCAGAATCGCCACCTGGTTCCACGATTCCTGCAACTAAGATAACACTTTACTCCCTTGTCTTTTAAAAATAGCCATACGCCTCCCACATGGTTTTAGACTAAAATGCAATCATTAACACCGTTAACTATAGATGTGAAATGACTATAATACCCTCAAACCCTATAATTTTTTGTTATTTCGTTCTCTCTTATCTCTCATACACATAATTTGAAATGTCTAGTATAAATTTAATTAAATCACAATTAATTATAAATTCTTAATTATTTATTGTAATTCTTAAATTTTTATTCTAATTTTAATTTAATTATATTTTAGATCACAATTAATCCTAAATATTTAACTATTTATTGTAATTACTAACTTTTTAATCTAATTTTAACTTAATTACATTTTAGATCAATTCTTAACTATTGTTTATTTTATATTTTATTTAATTATATTTTAAATAAATTCTTAATTATATTTTATATTTCAGATAAATTCTTAATTATAATTTAATTAACATATTAATCTAATTTTAGGTTTGGAAAAAATGAAGGTAATTGTCCTTTTATCGCATTAATTTCATTTAATTTTTCAGAAAACAAAACCTATTCTCAAAAATGGTGTGTATAATACACATTCTGTTAATTTGGATGGAAAAACTAACGATAGCACTTTAGTTCAAAACTACATGGGAGATTTCTTGCTATATTTGAACCATATGGAGATAAAGTGCTCTAATCCCAAACCACAAGGGGGTAAAATGAATTGGGCAAACTTCACTTTACCCCTGTGATTTAGGCCATGTATGGTTTACCCACTAAGGTTTGGAAATGACCACATAACCCCCATGCGGTTTGTGAACCAAAGTGCACCGTCCACTTTTCCATCCAAGTTAACTTGCTCTAAGGTTCACATTTCCACGAAGAGAGTAAGCTATATTTTCCAAAATACCCCTTACACATCTTTAAATTTACAAAAGCATGCCATTCTTCTTCCTCTTCTAACTACCAAAAAAATAACTTTAATATATACACATACTAGTTTAAAAAGGCCCGTGTTACAGTATATTTAAGTTTTGTATTTTGATAAGTTCTAAAATATTGTTCTATAAAATTGAATAAAATAAATCATTAGATATATGATAGAATTACATGGTATGATATGTAACATTTTTTGATTTGTTATACACCCAATGATGTAGACTCCAATTCTATTACCATATCATTTTGGGTGAATTTAGAAATCTTTAACATTTCTTCTGAATTTATAAAAAATAAAAAAATAAATATAAAAAAATTAACAGTTTTTAAACAAAACTCAAGCATTGACCATTTTTTAGTTAACCATTTTGTTAACAATTATATCATTAAGTCAATTAATAGTTTTTAATGATATGAGCAATATTTTTCAATAAACAATTTTGATAATTAATTATTGCATAGGAGAATAGTCCCCCCCCCCTTCTGAATATTGTGTTAAATTAAAATTTATAACAAACGATAGTTGTAATTTCTAGTATTACAGGACCATTTCATATTTTAAACAAACCTTATGGGTGTATTTGTAATTTGTTAAAAAAATAAAAGATTTATGTTTCATAATTGACCAAGAATGTTTGCGTAATTACGAAAAAACCTATTGCATCATTGACCAATAATGTTTGCGTAATTACGAAAAAATCTTCACTCAACATATAGGCCACCATTAGTCAATTATTCAAAATGAAAGGACAAAATCGGAAAGAAAAAACGAACCTCAAGCAATTAAGCGGTTCTTATATGTATAGATATACAGTAACAAATCACGTTGGATACAGCCCAGTGAAAAACAATAATAATAATAACTTTAAAAAATAACCGTAAAATAAACATTTAAGTTATCTCCTTCAAATCCACGGGACTTTTTTTCAAACACCTTGTCTTGGACTAACATGGAGCATAAAACTCAAATTTTGGCTAATTTGAATTTATGTTCAAACTCAGAAACTAAAAAATCATAAAACATGAAACCCAATTGAAAATGAATCCCACGAAACCCATCTTTAAAGCCCATTGAAAATGAAGAATCAGATTCTCACTTCATGCAGCCAACGAAGAATGTGGGGAAACAGTCACAAATCCATACCTTTTTTGTGATTATACGCAGCAAGAGCAGACTACTGTGGCTGCGAAAAGTGGGTTACTAAAATAAAGGAGAGAGAGGAAAGAGAGTGGTTACAGAGAGTGGTTACAGATGGCAGACCCACAAAGCAGCAGCAGCAACTCTAGAAGAAGGAGAAGAAGAAAAATAAGAGAGGGTGGGGTGGGTTCGTTGGGTGGTAAAGTGATTATGCAGTGGGAGTGGTTTGATCATGGGAAAAGGCTGCAAGCAATAGAGGTGCTAAGAAGAAGAGAAAAGGAGGAGAAGAGAGAGAACGAAAAAGGAAGACAGTGGAGGTGGGTTTGGAAATTGGTGATGAAGATGAGGATAGAAAGGACTAAGAAGAGGGTATAAAGGTCAATGCACAAATTATGTCAATAGAAGTTAGTGTGCGTTTTAGTCCACAAATCATGCGGAGGTTATGTGGTCATTTCCAAACGTTAGGGGGTAAACCGCACATGGCCCAAACCACAGGAGGATAAAGTGAAGTTTGCCCAAATGAATTTAACCCAATAAAAAAATATGCAATCTATAATGTCTATATTAAACATTGGGCTTGGATGTTTTCCTCGATCTACAACTAATCATTTATATAGTAAACATAATTCAAACGCTTTTTATTGTTTTTGCTTTTATTCAGATTTGATTGGCAGGACAAAACAAAACAATGCACATGTGGATCCACATGAGCATTGTTTTTGTTTCTAGTCTTTCTTCTTTTTTTCTTTTTTCTCTTTTTTTTTGGGTGAAGTTCCAAGAAAAAAACCTGTTGCCTCATTTCTTCAACTGAAAGTAGTCCAAGCATGCCTCGCTCTCTACAATCTTCACGAAGTTCAGCTTCTGAAAGAGATTCCACACCTTCCGCGTGTATCAATCTATCATCATTCTTTATCCTAACAAAAAAAATAACAATAATAATAATTATAGGATACCTAGCATTTTATTAATATGTTCAATTAAGTAAACCTTAGGTGTGTCCACCCACAAAAGGTCAAACCATCTGTATGTAGGTTTGTGTACTTTCTGAAACTATTCTTGACAAAAATACTAAAGAAACTTATCATCTGATAATTGTCAAAGAGAGAAACTTAAGCACTAATAACACTGCAATAGGATAAATTAGTTTACATGATAGAGTTGTGCCCATGCATCTTGACTAGCACACCCGTCCCCCCCCCCCTTCGTGTTTTATTTCTGCTTATCTAATCTTTGTTGTAGCTCGTTATTCTAGGTTTGCACATCAAGGTGAAGAGTTTAAAGTATGTCAGTAAGTTTAGAGTACAAGCAGGTAAAAAAGTTCAAGTCAAGATCAAAACAGACTTCTAGCCTTTACCTAGCTGGATCCATCACCCCAATCTTAACTGTCAAACGCTCGCCAAGACCTTTTACACACATAAGCTACATAACATAGAACAGATATATCTCACCATTTCAGTCTTTTTCGAAGCATAAATCGCAAATAAGCATCTGTTCCAAAAGGACTGATTCCCATATACTTGCACATATTCACTAATCGAGGCCTGAAAGCAGCAAAAGAGTCCAAAACAAGAAAGGGGGGGTGTCATGTAGTCTCAGTCAGTAAGCAAATAATAGCGCTGATATTAATATCCACTAAACTTGAAGGATGCATAAAATACACAAGCAGTGAAACAAAAATTCAACCTGCTAATATTATCCAGTGTAAGTTCATCATTGAACAATTTAGCAAAGCCCAAAATTTCCTCATTAGAGACACCGGCACCTCTTCTAACCTACATAAACTTATCAGGTCATATAAATCAAAACAAATATCAAGAGGGCACATTGTATACAAGGGGTTGGCAGTTAAAGCCGTAAATGACCTTGTTCAAAAACTCATCCAGATCTTCAGCTGTTTTCTTAGTTTCTCCACTCCGTGAGTTTTGGACTTCCTTTGCCATTTCTTTAACAGTGTCCTGAAGAAATTTCGCATATTCTATTCTTGCCTTTAGCCTCCTTTTTAATGCTTCCTACAAGTTGAGCATTTGACACGGGTCAAACATCCAGATTAAAGGGCAACAATTTTGTGTGCATGCAAAAGTACATGTGAAAGTGTGCACTTGTGAGTGCACATGCAAGTGGACATATAAACATTCCACTAAAAAGAAAAGGGATAACGAACTTTGCAAAGCAAGGTTATAAACTGGTTGATGTCACCTTGTCATGCCAGCAAAACACTGTGACTTTCAGACCTCAATGACAGATCATAGGCTCAAGATCAACTTTCATAATAAATGAAACTATATAATCAATTAATCACAGGAAAAACAGGGAGAAATAGAATACATCCATCACAGGTGATGCATATAGATGGAGATGACACGTGCAAGAACAAGTCAATAAAATGAGATTCAATATATAAATTTGAACTCAAAAAGGCAGTGCATCAGAAAATGGGAGATCTTAAAAAGTTATACCTTGTGTAAACGCTTACCACAAATTCCAACCATCAAAACTACTCAAATGAAGGCATAAGCAGTAGTCTAAATCCCACAAGCAACACAAATTACAAACTTAAGATGATGAAACATACCATTAAGAAGAGTCAAAAATATCATTGGTGAAATTTAAATTAGCCTCAAACATCCTTAGAAGATGTATTATGACATTTTTTTAGAAAAATAAATGAATAAATAAAATAAAATGATAAAAAAAAAAAAGAAAAAAAAAAGAAGAAGTTAAGATTATACTGGATCTAACTGGATCTAATTGAATCCTATTAAAAACCTTTTGATCACAAAATAATAACAAATAATGCATGTGTATTGATTATTTTCATACTAAACACTCTTAGAAGTTAGAAGTTATATTATTATGTCATTTTCATTAAAGGAAAAAAAAAATAAAAAAAGAGAGAAATATTAGAAAGGGTCAAATTCTATTAGACACGATAGTTTTAATAATTGAATGAATCGTAAAAAGTCAACAAAAATCATACTATTCACCATCGATTCTATCCCAAAATAAATTCACCCATAGATTCATGTCAGTTTATGCATGCATCACAAATTGAACTGTTAATCAGATCGTGCCTTTGTAAGATTTTGCTGACAGAGCTACAAAATTTAAAGATTCTTCTATGCGTGCTTAGAAAGTCACAAGATCTAGCCAAACAAAGTTACTATAGTAATCTAGTTCCACTTGATATAACCCTCTTTTTACAAGAAGTGCGAGCAATTTTCACTAGGGGCTGCAGTGAAACAGACAGCAAGGTTCTAGCCCATTTCCTATCAATCCTAGCTTTTTCACTTGAACAACAACATCAAATAAGATTAAAATAAATAAATAAATGAACCTCCTAAATACAAGAAAGAAGTCAATCCTTATCATTGGAGGCACACATGTTTTTTACTCCATTTTTTGTCATCGAGTAAGTATTGAATCCACAACCTTCAACTTCCATTGTGATCACCAAATACCATCCAACTAGGAAAACTAGGACACATACACTTAGGTGCAGGAAAAGGTCATTCATATTCTTGTCATTTTGATTAGCTAGTCACAAAGGTTTGCTTATTTCTTTCATACCTCCTAACAAGTAGGAATGTATGATACTTTGTCTTAGTGATGGCCATTCGATGGTCCACCCAATAACGAAGGATCCTGAGGGAGGCATGGGGAGCAACTGAACCCCAAAAAATTAGAATAAAAACCCATTAGTAAGATAATCTGGAAATTATAGGGGTTCGCCACCCCCCACAGAAGATGCTTTGACAAACACAATTTCAATAATATGCTTCTATCAAACTTGGGTTCTCCTCTTATTCAGTTTTGCTCCATTTTGTGCTACGAATTGAGTATTGTTGAGCTCATTTCATTACAAGTCCATTAGTTTTGTTGTTGCAACAGGAGATATGTTAAAAGATTCTACAGTATATGAATTGAATGTTTGTTATATCTAATTCATAATTCTCTGCCTTGTATAAATAACTTTGTAAGATTGTGTAAAGTTTGTAAATGTGTGAATGTGTTCATTTACGCAAATTTGAATTAGCGTAGCAAGAGAAACATTTATGTTAAAACTATGCTATGTTAATTAGTTGTCTACATTATTTTCCACCTAGCCTTAACTGTGTTTATTATTTAATTTCTTTTAGGTTTTCATTGAATTGAAAGTGAGGTTAATCATGTTGAATAAATCAATTGATTTCTTTCTTAAAATAAAATAAAAAATAAAAAAGTGGTTTTCAAAATATTAAAGGTTGTACAACCAAGGAATCTTTCACCCATAATGTTGAAACTTCAATTCCTCCCAAATAACATCCTTTTGAAGTTCCCACAGTCAAATCCAAGCAAGTTGATACATCTTTTTTGGGTTGATATTTTTATGGTTACAATTGATTTTAACATGGAAGAATCGAACATGTTTAAGGAAGGTGGGATGGAATTACTGGCTCTTAGCTCAGCTTTGAGTACTACAGATGGTTACAGATCATTCAAATTAAGGATATTTGCAAGTTCACAAATAAATTTTATCCCAATGATTTCACCAAGCAAGAAAATTTGTATTTGAAATACCAGTTTGAAAACTATAAGCTTGATGTTTCCATACTTTCCGAGTTTTAAAAATTATCAACAATTTCTAGCTTAGTTGGCCACCATGACTTTCCCAAGGGCTTAGTCCCTAGGGAGAGGTCATGGGTTGAACTCTCCCTAGGGGGAGTTGAATTAAGGGGGCAAGCACTTGGTGCTTTGCATAGGGTGGGAAGGTTAACTCCCATAGGTACTAATCTAACAACTGACAACTGACTTTTGCCAATCAAAAAAAAAATTTACAATTTCTAAGTTGTGCCAAAGTGTTGGTAAAAATAGGAAAGTCGATGAGTTATCCTCTTATTGATAAATTGATTCATCTTGTATTAGCTTTACCTATTTCAACTACTACATTGGAAGGTGCATTTTTAACTATGAAACTTATTAAGACTAAACTACTCAATGGGATGGAAGATGATTTTCTTGCTAGTTACTTGATCACATATATTAATAAAATCATTGCTCGAGATTTTGATGACAAGTCCATCATAGATGTTATTTTATTCCATGAAGGATTATCGAGCACAACTTCAGATGCCTAACGATAGTAGATAGATGCATATAAAAATAGTTACTGAATTTTGTAAGGGGTGAAAGAATATGCTCAATCATATGATCATAGTTTTGTTCCTAAGTACGTTGACATGGGATGTCTACTTAATGGTGACATTGTTTACTTCTTTGTGTTGGTAGAACTTGATATTCTACTTTAAACGTTATCAGCGAATTTTCTCAATTAGGCTTAGGGGTTGCATATGCTCCAGAGTTAGAATTCTGGATCCATCCCTATGGCCTAGCCCAATCAAACGCACACAATTAGTATAGGGATTGGAACTTTTGTTTAGGCACGTAGATTCAAGTTGGGCCAAGTTTTAAGGCATGAATTTTTTTCTCAGGCCGAGCATGCAATAAGCGCTTAAAGTTAAGGGTAAGCTATCAATAGATCTTAATAGTTGCAAGTCCTAATGAAAATAAATCCTAATAAAATCGTCGCTAAAAATAATTTTTTGCGACATTTTTTGCATATGTCGCTAAAAATTGATAATTAGTGACTTTTTTGTCACAACTTTTATAAATTGTCACCTATGAAGCGCAGGTACTCCAAAAATGGTGTCACATGAGTACCGGGTATTTACCGAGTGCGGGTACATGTACCGGTACAGCGGTACACGTGCCGGGTACGCCGAATACATGCCGGGTATGACAAATATATTTGGGTATGTCGTGGGTACGGCACCTGTACGGCGAGGGGATTTTTGTGATTTTTTTTTTTTTTTGTAGCTGCTAGAATTTATTGCAGCCTTTATTATTCTTCTTTCAATTTTAAAAATATGAAGTAATTTATGTCCAACACCCTTTACCCATGAGTTATGGTTTTGCTGTCTTTTACATCCTATTTTAGACAATCAAAAAAGAAAAAGAAAAAATTGTATAACTTTTTAGACAAGTTGTTCTGTTTTTAATTTTGATATTGAAACTTTGATTTGTATGTTGGATGTTTAGCTATAAATTTTAAAATAAAAAAAAAAATTTAAAAATTTGGCATACCCTAGTCGTACCTATACCTTACTTTTTTAAGAATTTGCCACATCGGCATATCCATATCGTATCCATACCCGCACCCGTGCTTCATAGATTGTTGCTAAAACTTACAATTAGTGAAGTTTTTCTGTGATGAATTTTTCAAACTATCGCTGAAAATTGAAAATTAACAACTTTTTTTGTGACGATTTTTTTAAACGATTGCTAAAACTTATAATTATTGACATTTTTTGTGATAAAATTTTCAAACTATAACTGAAAATTAACAATTAGTGACGTTTTTTAATAGTGTTGGATGAAAAATGCCATTAATTCTCACAAGACCTATTGGACAATAAGTCCACCTATTAGAACCTACACGTAAGTCTCCCTAAAGTTAAAACCTAGACCAAACACTTCATTAATCCATGTATATTATTTTATATAGACAGACCAGATCATTAAGCACCTAAATATGTTGAGATCATTGCAAGAATTGAACCCTTTAACCCCACATTATAAATAAAGACTTGAGCATAAGGCACAATGGTAACTTAAGAATTTTAACGTAAATTATTTATTTGAATTTTACTATGGGCTGACAAAACAAAGCTCAGGTACAACTTAAACCTTATGGTAGTACTTGGGTTAATGAGCTTAGGTCTGACATTGGGCCAGAACTAATTTGGGACAACATACCATGCCTTAGCATATAATTCAAGCCCTGCCTAAGCTGGGCCCATATCCACCCCTACTTTATCTCCACGTAGCCCCAGTAGAGTAATTACTTCAGTTTTTTTTTTTTTGGTTGATAAATTGAGTAATTACTTCAGTATTATTATTAATATTTTAAATATTAAACTCCTTTGTCAACTAATAATAGTAACAACATAATGTGAATAATAACCTACTTGCAAAGAAACTTTTTTTGTTAGGCATTCTAAAAGGGCTGTTAACTTTTTATATCAAATACAATTGAACGGAAGAAGATTAATAAAAACCACCTGTTTTATGTTAAGATTCAACTAAAGCCTAAATCAAAAGGTGAGATTCTTCTTGTTTGAGAGAGATCAAACAGCTCAACTAAAACACAAAATCACTCGTATTCATTTTTTATGCCTAGAAGATTAAAAAGACCCTCTAGGTTTTGGGCATTAATGACTAACTAGAATAGGAAGCTCAATTTAAAAACAAACTATTTTTTTTGATAAATAAAAACAAACTAATTTCTAAACTTTCAAAAGCAATTAAAAAATGTTTATAAATTTAATGTCATCAACATCGCAAAAAATTTGATCAAGCTGACAACTTTATTTCTGGTCCTCGAGCAACCAAAGGTTGCAGAATTCTTACCAGCTATCTGGTTCCTAATTTGAAAAACACCTTTTGCAGGTATGTGTTTAAGCACATGTATGCACATAAGCATGCAAAGAATCCTTAACATGAGTAATGATCTTTACCAAAACTAGACCTAAAATAATTGTATTGTGGTTAAGGGAAGAGAATAAAGAAAATATTGCACTCCAATAACAAAGATTTTTGTTCCAGCAATATCAGCAAGGTCTATAATAGGATAGGACCAGTGCCAAAAGTGCAAGTTTTCATAATGTGTGCTACATCCCTATTTAAGATTCCAAGAATATAAGTCTTGATAGACCTTCATGCATAAGGGATGGAAACACACCATATGATGACTTAGCATCAACACTAAAATAGTTCATGAATCATAACCAACAAGAACCAACAAGAGAACAAAGATGGGAACTATATCATGCAATTCATTTAGCATAAAAATACAAAAGATTTCAGACCGTATCAGAATCAGTACCTGCTCTTTCATCTTATCTTGAAAGGTTGATGGCAACATATTGGGGAATAACATCAAGAAAACTGGCAGCAAGAAATCCATGAATGGGACAACGATGAAGACTGCAAAAGGAACTAGCCTAAAAATATCAGCTGTGGTTCGGGTTAGCTGTTGCCTCTGCCTCCTTGAGAGAGTCTTTCCACTAGCAAGTTTTAACAGCAATCTTGAACTGATCCTCACATCAGCCCACAGTAGCTTAAAACCCAACCAGTAGTGTTGCAGTGTTGATACAATTTCATCTTTCCAATGAGTTAGTTTCTTTGCCCAGTCTTCCCTAAAAGAAAGAAAAGCATATCAACAAAGTATTGGCTCTAAAACCATGTTGGATCGGTAATAAACAAATAAACAACAGAAAAAAATTCTAACCTGCTCATTGACGCTACAGCTCTCAAAGCTGGACCAATCCCTAAAATTGTTGCCCATGCTCTTTGTAAAACAGATTTAGAACCCTTCTGAGATTCTTGCAATCCTTTGGCTTTAGCTTTGGCCTTTGCAGTACTAAGACCTTCAACAGCTTGATCACATTCCTCGGGAGATGCTTCCTTTCTCTTTTTAGCAACCAAATCTTCATTATTTTCATCATCACTACCCAAATCAGGTTGATGCGCTGCAAATGTAGAAGAATAGCGACTGGATTGTGGCATCAACCTATCCCTCATTGAGGAAATAAATTGTGACCTTCCAATCGCACAACCAGATGCAGTAATCCCATAGCATCTACGCCTGAAGAGCCCCAATGCTGACAAGTTTAGTAAATCGTCATTCACTGCTAAAATTGCACCCCCATCCTTCATGCCATTAAAACCTTGAGAAGAATTATTTGCACCAGCGCTCAAACCACTAGAATCCATACACTTTCTAGATTGCCCATTACCCAGATTTTGAAAACTTTGAACCGAGCAAACAGAGACATTCAAGTAGTCAGATAAAAGCCTCCTCCTCCTCACAATTGCTCTAGAAGCCATTATCAATTCCTCGTCTCTTCAAAAGAGAATCGCAGTAGCATTTCACAAGAACCCACTTGCTTACTTACACTAGTCAGTAAACCATGGTAAAATTAATCCATGACAAATGAGATTAAACCAGAAAAAATTACCACCAAACAAAACTACAACCCAGCAAGGGTACTTTTATATTTCATAATCAATAGCACATTCAAGAACAAAAACAATTATCTGGCCTATAACAACACAGTACAACAAAACTAACAAAAAATATATTATTATGTTTCTCAAACTGAACTGCATCTTTGCGATCGATCTGCACTCCAAAAGATATTAAAATTTGAAGAGAGAAATGCATAAACAAAATAACCAGGTGAATAATTGTTTAATATATTAAAACTTGGCCCAACCCATCATCTGTCCAGCAAAATCTGCCACTTAACTTCCATCTAGCCCCCAGTAGAGGAGTCCTGGCTCCACCCATACAAAACTTATTCCAATGATTAATTAAACAACTTAGAAAATCAAACTAAAAATTTTATAAAAAAAAATTAAAAATTAAAAACACACACACACAAACAAAAATGAAAAGTTAAAATTCGCACGAACAATTAAATATGTAACTGAAATCAAGTTCATCAAGATTGCAGCAAAGGCAAAAAATAATAATAATAAAATGAAGAAGAAATTGCCAGAATCAATTTATGAACCTAAGTCTCGCAATTCAAGCCACTGGTATCTGATATGTCTGCACTCAACTCATAAACATGCAAATGATGAATCGTATAACGATTTGATTGCTCATTGACAAGATGAATTGATTAAAAAAAAAGCTTGTGCTCCAAGAAAACCGACTCTAATCCCACAAAGAACCAAACTGCTTCGAACTAACGAAATTCAAAAAAAATGTAAACACACTCACAGTTTGTGCGAACCTCAGGGGCAATGGTCGGACTAACCAACTTAAAACAATCAATCAATCGCCAAAATGCCAAAACGGAAAGAGGAAGGGAGAATGAGAGGTTTTAGGGTCGCTCGGTCTACGCGATAAAAAAGAGTGCTGAGATTTTACACACTGTTTGGAAATAAAAGAAAGGGTATATTATAAATACAGTCTGAGTTTTGATTAAAATGCGAAATGCGAAATGCGAATTGCTATTGTTGTTTTAAAAATTACATTTCACCTTTTTTAGGTTTTTAATTTTATAATAAATAGTTTTTTTATTAATAAATTATTAAGTTAAATAAAATTTTTAATAATGTTAGAAATATATTTTAATTAATAATTTAGGTAATTTTATTATTATATAAGAGAGCAATTATGAATTTTATTTTTTTAATTAATTTTGCTAAATAAAAAATACTAACAATGAGGTATTTGTAATTTTTCAAATCACAGGAGACAATTTATACTTTAAGCAAACCTCTAGGGGTGTATTTGTAATTTACCCTAAAAAAATGGTGAAAAATTATGGAGTAATGCTAGAGACCTTAAATATCTCATATGGATGTGAGACTCATACCACGTGAGTTCCATGTAGATTCCACACACATGTAAGATATTTGATAAAAATTTTGGTAAAACTTTTAGAACCTCTATCATTTTTTAAAATTATGAGAAATGGTGAGAAATGAATTCTCATTAAATTTGTGTTTTGTTTCTTATTAATAGTAGTGAATTTTGTGAGAAAATAAATGAGTTTAATAAAATTTAGCATAAATTATGTAAATGGTCTATATAATTTATACAATGTATCAATTTAGCCTTTGTTGTTTTAATTTGTTCGAATTTGTCCCTTAATTTAACAAATTGTGTCATATTGGTCCAATAAATAATAGTTGTTAGATTTTGTGGACGGAAACTCAAACGATGTGTCAATTTGATCTTTGTAGTTTACACGATGTTTCAATTCAGTCCCTGTCAAAATTGAGCAAATTAAAATAATAGAGATTAAATTGACACATCGTGTAAATTATAATGATCAAATTGACATATCGTTTGAGCACGTGACAACTTTATGTCCACCAAACTTAACAGCCGATATTTATTGGACCAATATAACATGATCCGTTAAATTAAGGGCAAAATTAAGCAAATTAAAACAATAGGGATCAAATTGACATATCATATAAATTACAGGGACCATTTACATAATTTATACTAAAACTTATTTAAAATATCAAAACTACTCATGTGAAAAAATATAGCTCATTAATATGGAAAATTATTTTAGTAAAATGAAATAAAATATTTTCTTTTCCTTGCTATTACTTACTCTATCCAAAAAACAAAGGTAATCACATTCTCTTCTCTTTTATTCATCTAAACATAATGATGAGAAATCATAATTATTTATTTTCTTTTCTTTTCTCACCTCCCCCATGATCCAAACGGAGAGGAGCATCGGAAGTACGGTGGCCATGGTCAAGGTCCCCAACCCGCTCAGCGCAGCCCAGCCTATATTTTTAAGATTTTTTTTAAAAAAAAATGTTTTTTTTATCAATAATAAAATTTTATTGATTAATCAAAAAGAAGAATAATGACAAGACGTCCTCCACATAGGGAAGGAGAGAGAAAATACACGAACTAAGCAAAGACTACATAAACAAAACTTACAAACCACGCCGACAACTAATTTCTAACCAACATAAGCAATAAAATCTCTTTAAAAAAAATATTTAGTTTGTAGAACTAGATTAGATTGAAAGTTTAACTAATTTCTAACCAACATAAGCAATAAAATCTCTTTAAAAAAAATATTTAGTTTGTAGAACTAGATTAGATTGAAAGTTTAAGTTTATTGAGCTTTCATTTGATATGTCAGGTTTTTTGATTATTTTAGTTACAAACAGATAAAATTGGCTTTTTAACCCAATAAGACAAAATATCACATCAAACCCATAATTATTTTATTTTTTCTCTTACAAAAGTCAAAAAAGTCAAAAAATCTTTTCCAAATAAGATTTTTTAGTCCCTAGCTAAAATAGTTAAAAAGTCAAAAAGCCAACCCACATACCAAACCAACTAATGTTTAGACTAAAGTTTAGAATAAAAATTGACTCGTATGCTTATAAAATATTAATTTTATATTATTTAATCATAAAATAAGCTAAACAAATAATAAAGAATTAAAAAAAATACATATATAAATATATTTCTTTGTAGAGTTTAAATTAAAACACTTACTCCCTCCGTCCCAAAATAATGGTCCCTTTTGGGGAATCCAACTTTTTTTGGTAGTATAATTATTGCATTTGAAAAAAGTTGATTTTCCAAAATTACCCTTTTGATAGTACATTTTTTGGGAATATCAATGTCATAATTGTACTTTTTATATTGTTTATTAATTTAAAAGAAGGGCAAAATAGGAAATTTACATTATTTTTGTACTTGATTTTTGAAGAGGGACTAATATTTTGGGACAATGAAAAATGGAATAAGGGACTAATATTTTGGGACGGAGGGAGTATTTTAAGTTTATATTTATTTGACAGTTGAATTTTATTATTATTTTTAATTTAAATATTATTAAAAGTGTCTAAATAAATTTGATAGCATTTTAAGACCAAAAAAAATTAAAATTAATAGCTCATATTTTTTGGATAAGTGGATAGATCTGAGTAAATTTTTTTTGGAATTCGACTTGGGATAGCCAGGTTAAACCTGATATCAGGTCTAACTAAATCGGGATTAAAATTACATATTTTATTCTTACTTAATCTATCTAAGGTCAAGTTTGGCATATGATCAAAAAGTTAAAAAGTTAAAAAATTATTTAAAAAATTAAAAAGTTATCACTATTCATCAAAAGTAAAAAATTATGGCTGCACAACTCTCAATCTTAATTTTTCCCTACACACTAATTTATACAATTTTTTAATACATATTTTTCCATAAAAAGTCGAAAAACTAACCCAAACAATCATTTATTTTTTCCTCAACTTTTTAATCTAAAAAATCAAAAAATACACTTATTTAAAACATCCCAAACAACCCCTCCAATGTTTGTCCACCCTAATCAGAAGTGATTGTCTAGTGTTGTGGCCTAGGTGCCTTTGTCAGTTTGATGTCGTTGAATTGGTATGACTGAAGGATGATTGTTTGTGGTGTGAGCAGTGGCAACTCATTTTTTGTTTCGGGAATCAATAAAAAAAATTATGATAAGCTATACTTTCTAAGAAAAATTACAAATTAATTATATATTAAAAAATAATTACATATACATGAAAAATTTTGCACTCTTTATAATTAAAGTTTGTAATGTTTATCATTAATCTGAAGGGGAAAAAAAAATTCAAAATCTACACTAATTTATTATTCTCCCTACTTTTTATTCCTATTGTTTGATTTAAAATTTATTTTAGTTCTAATTGTTTTAATTTAAATAATTTAGTCTCTACACTTTAAATTCAATTTCAATTTTGTCCTCCATCCAAATTTTTTTTTTCTTTTCTTTGAATTGTTAATTTTAACCTCCACCTTTAATGAACAAATTGTTCAACTTAAAACAATAGAAACTAAAAATTTCAATCAAATTGTAGACGTTGAAAAGTAATTTAACAAAAAAAAACTACCAATTTTTGTAAAAATTGCTTCTTTTTTTTTCTTTTTTGTCATCAAAATGCTAGAATGATAATATTGATAGGCAAGCAAATAATCAAATATATGATGAATCCGTCACCAAAACAGAAAACAGCCATGTTGGAGGGTAATATTCCCACATATATTATTGATGGCTATTTCTTCTAATATTTAAGGCTCTTTATTTTTGGGGTGTATATGATACTTGGGGAGGTTCCATTTTTACTGTCTCATTTTCTTTTTGTTCACACACTTAATGATATAATTTTTTATTACAATTTTATCCTCCTATAAAATTACCAAAATGTTCTTATCTTCTCTACCAAAAGCCTCACTTCTTAACCCCAACATTAGCCACCTTCATCACCACTGCCACAAATCACCTTTGTTGTAACCCTCCACTGTGAAATCCCTATTGGCACGAGCTCCCCACCACTAAAAACTCAACCCATAGCCCCTCTTGGGCATCTTCGCGACCACCACTCTTCCTCGTGCCAAAACCATTGTCGCAACCCCTTTCTCTACGAAACCCTAGTTGCCTCGATCTCTCTCTATCTCGAAACTCAAGTTGCTCTCTCTCTCTATCTCTCTCTCTCTCTATGTGTGTGTGTGTATGTGTGTGTGTGTGTGTGTGTGTGTGAATGTCTCTTTATCACAATCGTTGATGTCGGAGTGTAAGGAGGGTTGGGGTGGTGTGTTGCAAGTGTGAAGGTTGTAGGAGAGGGTGTCAAACAAGGCTAGTTAAGAGTGGCGGTGCAAAAGGAGGAAGTGGGAGAAGGTGGGGTAAGATTGAGGAGGGCCACTGGAGAAGTTAGGGGTATTTTTTACAAGAAATTATGTGTATTGAGCAAAACTTGATATTCCTAAATCATTAAGTGTATGTCTTGAGAAGAGATGTGTACTTCAAGGGTTTGGTGTGTGGAGATAGAAGCTTTTTGATACCTGGGCTCCCCGAGGGGAGATGTAAAAAAAATTACCAACTTGACCCTTAAATCTATATTATTATAAATTGCAATACATTGTCATATCTTTAGGACTCATATTCTCAACCCAATTTTCTCAAATTTTTAAAACTATCATAGGCTTCAGACGCTAGTTTAGTTCAGTATGAGCATTGGGATATTTCATTTTTGAATTTCCTATCATTGTGTTTCTTCCAGAGTTCTCAAATAGCAAAAAATAGGAACATAGATGTGACATAGACAACTTGGGATTTCATGCGAGAAATGTTAAACTACATTTGTAACAATAAAATTGATACTTGTCACAATGTTAATGAAGAGAAAAATAAATACAGAAAAAACAATAAATTGAAAGTTTTGTTGTCCAAAATGTGTATTTAAATAAAAATAAGCAAATTCATATTTAATTAAATTTAAATTACATAACAAGAAATCATTAAACTAAATCATACTAGAGATTACAACTTGATGAATATAAATATACAACAAAATAAAATACTGAAATAAGACAAGAAATCAACCGAAACCTGTATGATACCACAG